CCGGTTACAATATATACGAAGAAAATAACTCCTAATTTCCAATTGCTTTTAAAAGAAGGACTTCTAGTGGAAGGTAGTGGGCCTAGAGGATGAACAATTAGACAAAAACATTGGTTCTAACAACCCTTCAAGACAGGAGATCCTAATTCTGCTAAGCAACTTGGCTAAGTGCTGTGGGGAATCTGCAAGCCCTTACCTCACACCTTCCTGTGAACGGCTGCTCAGGGAGGTCCTGGGAGGTCCTGGGGCTGCCAGGCCCCTAAACCTTGGCCTCTCTCTCCACAGGTGGTTCCATCAAGGCCCCAACCCCCACAATGGGGCCCAGGACTGGCTCTACTCCGGCAGCTACTGGGACAGAAACTACTCGAACTTGCCTGACATTTACTAAAGTGCAGACAAGTCAGGGCGTTGGGCTAATCTACAAATCCGTCTTAAACCTGTGTTTTTAAATGTTTTTCTTTGGTTTCTACTCATCTTTAAAAAAATAAAAATAAATAAAAACCCCGCTCATCACTTGCATTTCACCCCCAAAAATAGGGCACAAGGTGACCCCGGTGATGGGAGCCTCCCAGAAAATGGGTCCTTTTGCTGCTGAAGGTGCTGAGTGGGGCGCTGTTGTACACAGAGGGCAGAGGAACTGCGGGCGGGGTGCTTTCCCGCGGCTTTGCCAGCTCCGGAAGGCGGATACCTGAATGTAACTTCAGCTTTATGAAATTATATACCTACATGTAACTTAGCTTTATAAAATTACAGAGTTATTTTGGCTACTCTATGCTGTCGGGCTTGAATGTTTTAGATGTGACTTCGAGAGGCATCGACCTCTCCTTACACTGCTGGCCGCTCAGGTGCAGAGAGAGAGCGTGGGGGAGAGGCGGGTCCATCGGCCCCCCAGCCCTCCCTCCACACAGGCCGGGCCTGGGGAGCCACCGGGCGGCTCTGCCTTGAGAATTCTAATGAACGGACTGAAAGGCCTTTCGTTTGCTTCTTGCAGTGCTGTTTACTTTACAATTCTGTAACCAGCCGCTAGGATTAGGAAGTGTTTAATTGTCCATGTTCAAACTGAAAATATGTATGAACTCTAGCACTTCACAGACATGCCCTAGAAATAGAGTTTAATCACCGTTATGACATAATGACTCCGGGAAGTTCAGCTGCATCGACCTGTGGACCGGCCCTGTGCGCCCAGGTCTGCGGGGCCCCGTGCGCCGGGCCCAGGGAGACGCTGCCCAGGAGCCTGGCCCTGAGTCGGGCGCGTTCACCCTGCATTTACCCCCGGGCCCAGCGGCTGCTCCGGGCCTCGGTGGCTGCAGTAAATTATTCTCGTTGCTGTCTTGACGTTAACAAGTGTTATGACGAAATAATCTACCTGATGCAAAATAAAGGCTTTAGAGCGTCCCGAAAGCGTGATTTCTTTCGTTAAACTGTCGGATGTGCTCACGTTGCCAGCTCCGTGTGACCCGAAGTGACCACGAAGGTCCTTTTACTGCCCGGCCGGCCGGGCGGCTCCGGGGTTGAGCCAGGAGGTCGGGGTTCAATTTCCATCAGGGCTCCTGGCGCGGCTTATCCCCAGCGCGGGGCGCGCAGGAGGCAGCGGGTCCTGGACCCTCACCC